CAGCTCTAACCCTTGCGACAGGAACAGCCTCTCTTGATTGAGGACTTACTGGAACAAGAGAAGCAAGAACAGATGAAGCAGCAGAAGGCCAACCAGCAGCAGCAGCAGGAGACCCTCGGGCAGGACGACCTCAACCTCAGTGACATGGAGTTCGAGAAGCTCAAGGCAGATGTCCTGTCTGTGGGGAACACCACAGTTGGCCTGCCCTCGATGGCTGGTGAGTCTGGCGCGACTTCCTCTGCTCGGTTTTGGAAGCTCTTGTTTTGGTTGTCTTTTCTTTTCCTTTGTTTCTTATTTGTTTGTAACATTTATGGGATAATTGTTTAATCAGTGAATTTCTCTCCTGTCCCGGTCAGCCTCTCTCTGTAAACTTCCCAGTGTAGTTATTTTGAGGGATGGATAGTCTCGGTGTCTCATCAAATGCTCTCCCCACCAACAGGAGGACAGGTCATAGGCACTAACGCTAACGTGCGGCAGCCCTTCCAGCGGGTTGTCGGCCAGCCCCCTCCCCAGGGTGCAGGTCAGGCCATGTACCAGGCGCCGTGTCCTGCCCAGCCAGCGACCCGGCCAGTGAGACCGCAGGGAGACCCGGGCATGCATCCAGGTAAGACCTTTTGAATAGAGCACACAAAGGTGAACTGTTGTCACTCTTTGCATTGTATAGATACCTCATGCCCAAAAGGAAATTTCCACGTTAGGTTGAAAAATAACTAATGTGTCTAAACTTGTCATGAATTTTTGAAAGTCGTTGTTAGTGAGTGTGATGAAAAGGTCAAATTGAAATGATCTAAATTTCATGTTAAGAATAGTTGCTCTAGAATTTATCTTATTTTCATTTTATTATTTTCTTTCCACAATGTTTTCCTTTTTTCATGTATTAGTCTACTAGTGTGTCATGAAATTATATTCTTTTGATAGATCATGGAATTATTTGCAAGTTGTTATTGTTTGTGAGACGTTATCATGTGTTGATTTACTTTTTATTTTTATCTTCACTCTTTGTTTGATGAGCTTGCTCTAAACTGAACTTTTACTTTGATAAATTTCCAGCCTTGTTGCAAGCTGTTGGGTCACGAGGAACAGTTCCGTCATCACCAGGTACTGTGAACATCAAGACTTTGCCCCCACCCCCACAACCACCGGACAATCCCCAGACTGAAGCAGAAAGGCACCAGCAACTTCAGTATGAAAACTGGCTCTCACAGCAACACAGCCTCATTGCCTCACAGCAGAGACACTATGACACAGAGATCACAAAGCTGCGCAAACAGCGGAAGAGCCTGAACAGCCGCCAGAGAACGCTGAAGAAGAATGGACAAGAACTGAGTGAGCATGATGCAGCTGAACTAGCTCGTGTGCAACGTGACGCCTCCACCATCCAGCGCCACCTAGAACAGTGCCGTAAGTCGGCAAGGCAACATGCTATGATTGTGCAGGAATACAATAACAAAAAGAGGCAGAGACAGGCCCACATGATGAATACACAGAGTGGTGTTATTGGTCCAGGGAACCCAGGGCAGTTGATGAGTGGGGCTTCACCCATGGGACCTACAGGCTCTTCTCCCATGCACTCTACCCCCCAGAGTCCCCTCATGTCCCCATCACCATCCTCACAACCAGGGATGGGCCTTAGTCCAATGGTTCCTTCCCCACACACACCAGCTGCCTCTCCCAACCCTGCCATAGTACCTCAGCACTCTCCGCATGCAATGGTGGTTCCAGTCCCCCATCCCTCACCTGGAGAATCCCCGTTCAGTCCCCAGACCCGCATGCCATCGCCTGGTGGGGGTTATCCAGACCAGGGGCCCCGTGCCCCTTACCCTGGGCCTCAAGGGATGACTCACCATATGATGGGTCCACAGATGAGAGTGCGAATGCCAGTGCATAGTCCAGGGAATCAGACTGTGCAGCCTGGGCAGATGTCTCCCCACATGATGGGAGTGCGTCCAGCATATCCTCAGTCGGGCGTCATGATGTCTCAGGGTCAGGCTCCCATGATGATGAGACACCAATACCCACAAGGAGTCATGCCCCACAGAAGACCTTCAGGTTCAGGACCAGTCCCCAGCCCGGGCTCAGGTCCCAGCCCAAGTCCAGGGGGACCAGTCCCCAGCCCTATTGGTAGTGGCATGGCCATGAAACCAAGTCCAGTTCAGAGTGGCCTGAAGAGTCCAGTGCCATTGGCCAGTCCAAGTCCTGGGGGACCAGTCCCAAGTCCTCTCTCTGGCAGCATGGCAATGAAGCCAAGTCCAGTTCATAGTGGGCTAAGGAGTCCCGTACCCCTGGCCAGCCCTCAGATGCGGCCGCACAGTGTGGAGAATCCAAGTACTCCCCTGACGCCACGTAGTGTGGGTGCAGGAGATATGGGTGGAGCTCCTCAGACCCCACACAGTGACATGGGTGGTGCCAGTGGAAGCAACAGCCAAGTTAACAGTCCTCACCCATCTGTGCCAACGCCTACCAGTGATGCAGTGCCCTCGCCTGTTCCTTCGTCAACACCTTCGATGATGCAAGGAGGTCAGAGAGTGGGAGGAGGAGGAGGAAATGCCAACAATCCTAATAATCCTGCGCCGTGTCCTCCATATATGAGACGGTTTGGCTACTTCAAATTGGGTCTAAGAGGTGGTGGTTTTGTGAAGAGCCGCTGGGGACATTTTAAGCTCGGCCTCAAGGGTGGAATGCCTCATGGTGATATTGAAAACAATGTTGCGCAAGCTACCTCTAATAGTGGACTGTCAACTACATTACCAACTACCACTACCACCATTGCACATACTTCTTCCGAGCCTTCCACAGTCAGAGCTGCAAGTACGCCTTTATCCTCGGTAAAGAATGAACCTGAGGGCGATGAAGGGCAGGAAGGGCTTGCGCATGTTCTGAGTGAGAGCGGACCAATCAAAGGACCAATTGTTCGGATGCCAATGATAGGGGGAGGAGGGCAGAGGGTAAGCCAGTCAGCCTATGTGTCGGCAGGATCGTCTGTAACCATGACGCCCCAGTTAAGTGCAAATGCTAACAAGGTTCTAGTTCCAGAACCTTTGAAGTCTGAAATTCCACCCTCCAGTCGACACCAGGCAGTGATTGGGATTCCTGGTGGGGGCGCCATCTTCTCACAAAACAATATGTATCCAACTCACACAGTGGCCCCAGGCATCCGATTGCCAACTGCTGTGTCAACAGTCAACTACCCTTCAACACTCTCAAACCAGAACCAAGTGTCTGCCACCAGCACACTAGCTAGTGTGTTGAGTTCATCCAGTAGTAGCTCTGCAATAAGCAGTAGTCTTGTCCCTCCACCCATCATGTCTGTCACCTCATCAGCAGAAACTTTACCAACAAGCTTAAATATTCAGAGCACAAGTCAGCCTTTAGATGATGTACAAACGTTGAGCAATGTGGTGAGCATAAATAACCAGGTGAGTGGTATAACCAGTGGCCTGACCAACTATGCTAGTACAGCAAGTGTACCTCTCAACTCCTCAGCAACAACTAATACAACCCCATCTCTCAGTCGACCACTGGTGAGTGTTCCAGTCCAACAAATTGGAATCCAGCAACGGCCCATGTTGCAGACCTTAACAACAACAGTAGCTACCCCACAGGTCAGAACGCTCCCATCTATTGGTAACCTACAGGCAGGGACACGTCAGTTTAAAACCCTGATAAGAGCCTCTGTGGGCCAGCATCCAGGTGTGATACAAGCAGGTCAAGATCAGGCAGGTAACCAGATTGTTACTCAACAGCAGGTGCTCCAGCACACATTACCTCAGCAGGCTGGTGCCCCCCCAACTTTAGGTCAACAAACCTGGGTCCAGACTTCTGGTGGGCCTATTCCTCATAGTGGGGTTGTTGTACAGGGTGGAGTGCCACAGACAGTGGGTGTGCGTATGGTCCAGCAGCCCATGATGGTTCAACAAACTCTTGTGCGCAGTGGCAACATGATGGTCCGCCCTGGAACAACAGGCCAAGGGGGAGTGAGAATGATGATGATTCATGGCGTGCAGCCTGTGCGGACGCCTTCACCACCAGTAAACAGACCAGCTATGATGCCTCCACCAGCTGCCAAATCACCAGCTGGGCATTCTGCGAGTCCAATTCCTCGTGTATCTCCAGCACCCTCCCCTTTATCAAACCACCCGTCTCCACACTCTCCTCAAGTGAAAGGGCAGTCTCCTCTCATGAGTTCTCCGGCCCCTAGTCCTCATGGGCCACATACAAACGTGGCTGTGGGAATGATCAAAAGAGAGCCAGATGATGAGCACACCAATGTCACACTACCACCCCACCATACTATAGCAGGATCTGTTACACAGCAGCAAACTGGCACTGTACATATGACAATCAGTGGAGTTCAGCCACACACTACTGCAAATGTCCATGTTGTTAATCCACAACATGGCCCACAGAATGCATCTACAATTGCAGGAACAATAAAGACTGAAGGTGTGACTGAGGGAATGAACAAAGACTCCTCAAATGCGTTGCTGAAGCAGCTACTAGAGAATACAGGATGTGCTAACTCCATGTCACAGCCATCATCAAGTCCTCTCGTTCTCTTCAGATCCCCTCAAGGAACTGTACCAGTTCCTTCATCTAATCTGACACACATTGCTTCACAGATACCAAACCCCACACCCATTGTGGTGTCTCGTAGTAGTGTACCTGCCACACTTCCTGTCTCTCATCCGACGGTGTTGCAGGCTACTACTTCAGCAACCATGGTACCTCAGAATGCAACTATCCAGCAACCACAACAGCAGCATACTGTGGCATCGGGTTCCTTACCGCAGCAGCTAGGACCTAACCCACAAATGATTCAAAGGTCTGTTGTGGTTTCCTCAGGCCCACATCCACCACAGGGGCCCGTCACTCACACTGTTGTCATGGGACAGCAACACCAGCTGATTGCACACTCAGATGGGCATGGTAACCTCACCCACACTGTGGCTCGTCCTGGTGTGCCATACACAGGCCAACATCATGTGGTGGACCCTCATAATGCTGGTCCTCAGCCATCTAGTCAACACATAGGTGTGCGTCAAGTCACCACTCACCACCTCAGTCATCCAGGCATGAATTCATCAGCAGGGCACCATGTCATTCAGGGTCAGCCCCCACACCAAACAGTGACTGTCAGTCACCCAAACCATACAATGGGTCACCCTCTCCCTCACTCCAATCCACAAATGGTTGTCCATCCTGGTATGAGGCCCACACATCCTGGTCAACATCCTATGGTTAATGCACATCCACCCGGGACTCATATTGTTACTGGACAGCGACCTCCTTTAGCCACTGCAGTATTAAATACCACTCCAACACCGGCAAGTATGGCTGACAGAGTCAACAGTAATCCAGCCCTTAAGACTGAAATGCGAGTCATGATTCCGGAGACTGTCTTGGGGACTGGTGCCAGCACGGGGGAGCACACGCCGGAGATGACCACGCCAAACGAAGGTTCTGACTCGTTGGACCACGAGGAGAAGAAAGCCCGGAAGAGGTCACAGCAAGCTAGGAGGAAGAGCCAGAGCAAAGACACCAAAGTCCAGCCAGCAAAGCGAGCTAGACAAGGCTCAAGAGTAGAGGAAGACTATGATGCTTACATTGAGAATGTAATGCAGCAGCTGAGAGGCATGCCACCTCTCACCATAATGGAGCCAGAAGTGCCAAAGAATTTTAACCTCTGTCCCATGTTTGGCAGTGGAGATTTGAGCAAACTTGGTAGAAGAGATTACAATCATCGACAAGGATTGTTGGAGGGGAAAGAGGGCCATCTCACAGTTAAAAATGTCACTGATTATTATAGTACACAGCCATTTGGGGATAAACCACCAATGGTTACGCCAGCAAAGACAAATCCTACACAGAGAGGATTTTATATCCATGAATTTACACCACCAAAGATTGGCCTTCCATTAGATGAATATCAGGAAGGGGAAACAGTTGTTGCCACTTCCACCAGACCCACACCAGCACAAACTCCAACCCGAGATGCTGATTCGCCTGACACAGTATTAAGTTCTTCATCGCCAGAATGTATTCTTCCAGAGTCACCTCTTCCATTCAAGGGCCTGAGACTTGTTGACATGGACGAAGATCACCAGGATGACCAGCGTGACCGCTCTCTTTCCCCTGCCATCCCTCTCTTGGTACCCACTCCAATCAGACCAGGGCAACTACCATTCATGCCGCAAATCAAGGATGGCAAGGATGTCCCAGAGCTGGATAAGGAGAACATTGGCAGTCTAGCTAGTATCACTATGAAGAGCCGGCTTGGACAGTCACCAGCTTTGCCTCTGAAAGATATGGGAAATGTGAGTGTCACCCTAACACTTTCCTCACAGGCTGGAGAGGACGTGTCTGGTATTCTGCGATCTTTAGCAAATCTCTTAAACATTCCTCCTCCATCGTCATATCAGATGGCAGATCGCATTGAGCCCCCCAAACTGCCAAGGGTTTACCGACACAAACATCCGAAGGATGGGGTAGAGCAACTTGTTGATATCCAGAGCATCTTGAATGGTCAGGCCAGATTTTGTAGACACTGTGATGTGATTATATTGAAAGACATTTTGTGCAAGAAAGTCTCAGAACTTCCTTTCCTTAATAAGAGTGATTACGAGAGTGTGGATGAAGTGACATTCTGTTCTCAGCAATGTTATATCCAGTTTGCCGTTTCTCATCGTGTTGTGGTTGAGGATAGAGGCAAAATAGAAGGAAGTAGCAGGTTTACTAAGGTAAAAGATTCTTGTGGAGATGATACCAAAGACCCATCCATTTTATCTGATGATGCACTGCTTGATTGGTCGAAGGAGGAGGGCATGGATGAAGTTCTGAAGGTGCCACAGCTGGAAGACTCGTTACATTCTCGACCAAACAAGCATAAACTAGAGGAGGACCAGGAACAGTACCCGAGGCAGGCCGATGGAAAGAGGTTCCGTGGACACAAGTACAAATGCTGGACACCAAATGCACTGACCCTTCCAGAGAAATATGAAAAGCCCACACCGAAGGAGATGACGGACCTGCTGTTTAGGATGGGCATCACGTACAGAAAACCTAGGCTTAAAGATGATTCACGGAAGTGCACGCTGTGTGGTCTTTATGGTGATTATGTAGCTGATGGTCCTTCCAGACTCTTGAACTTTGATGTTGACAAGTGGGTGCATTTGAATTGTGCTCTCTGGGCGGATGAGGTTTACGAGACCATGAATGGGGCTTTAATGAATGTAGAAGCATCTCTGAAGAAGGTGGCAAATTATATATGTGAACATTGCGAACAGGCAGGAGCATCTGTGAAGTGCTTTAAAGTTCGCTGCAGTAAAGTTTACCACCTGAATTGTGCCGTGAAGGAGGGTTGTACCTTCTACAAAAACAAAACTGTATTTTGCCAAGAACACATCAACAAAGGAGAAAAAGACAATGAGCTGTCAACATTGGCTGTGTTTCGGCGAGTTTTCATAGACCGAGATGACAACAGACAAGTGGCCTCTGTGATGCACCATGCAGATCTAAGTTATGTCCTGCGCATTGGCTCTCTAATCCTAATAGCCATCGGCCAGCTGTTCCCTCACCAGCTGCAGGCATTCCATACACCATATTGCATCTACCCTGTGGGCTATCAAGTTGTAAGTATTCTTAAGATATAATTTCCATATCATTTTGTTTTCTTTTGTGTTTGCTTGTTCATATGCTTAGATGCTAATTTTTGTAGGTGTAGGTTCTGTTTACTTTTTTTTTTTTTTTTTTTTTTTTTTTTAAATCTTTTCATGTGCTCAAAGTTTCTAAAATTAATTTCCCCCCGCTCTTACTTCCAGATCCGTTACTACTGGAGTATGAGGCGTCTCCATAAAAGATGTGCTTATGAATGTTCAATCCATGACAACAGTGGCCAGCCAGAGTTCAGAATAACAGTGAAGGAAGAAGGCTATGATGACCACACTTTCATCAGCTGTTCTCCGAAGGGGGTGTGGAACAAAGTGCTGGAACCTCTCGCAGAATTAAGGCAAAAGGCCGATGTTGTGAGACTCTTCCCTCAGTACATCAATGGTGAAGACCTCTTTGGTCTCACTGAGCCAGCCATTGTCAGGATTCTGGAATCTCTACCAGGTATCGACACTTTGGCAGACTACAATTTTAAGTACGGTCGCAATCCATTGTTTGAGCTTCCTCTGGCTGTGAATCCCACCGGCTGTGCCCGGTCAGAGCCTTTCAACAAAATGCACCTCAAACGGTACCATGGAATGAGAACAAGTGTTGGGTCAGTCCGTAGCAGCAGCAATTGCAGGAATGCCGCAAGTGTGGCCAACCTGACGATGACCTTTGACCCCTACAGCAAGCTTCACGTCCACTCCAGGTCATCACAGTATAAGAGAATGAAAAATGAGTGGAGAAGTGTTGTGTACCTGGCCAGGTTAGTTGCCGAACTGTTGATGGGTCACAGATAATGGAAAGGAAGTTATGATGGCTATTTTTGTAATGTGAGACAGTTAGCTATCTCTTCATAACTAGAACCTGATACAATTTATTTTTGTTACTTGCAGATCAAAGATCCAGGGCCTGGGGCTGTATGCTGCACGAGATATTGAAAAGAACACCATGATCATTGAGTACATTGGAGAGATCATTAGATCAGAGTTGGCAGAGGTAAGACAAGGAAAGCTTTTTACAGGGCTTGAGATTTTAAAGGAGCAACTTATTATTATTATATTACAAGAGCAACTTAATTTTGACAAAAATTTTATGGTTAGAACTTGACTGGTTCTGTAGATGGTAAATTTTATAATGTGACTCATCCATAGAAGTAGTAATATAGGGGATTGATAGTACAGAAACCCTGGAATTAAGCCCGGTGTTCCTTCCGTACTCCCCTTCAGGTGAGAGAGAAGCGCTATGAGTCCCAGAACCGTGGCATCTACATGTTCCGGCTGGACGACCAGAGGGTGGTGGACGCGACAGTGACGGGCGGCCTGGCTCGCTACGTGAACCACTCGTGTGGGCCCAACTGCTACACGGAGACCATTGAGGTGGAGAGAGATCTCAAGATTCTCATTATCTCCAACAGGAAAATTCTCAGAGGGGAAGAGGTAGGCTTTGATTGATGATAACACTTTGTAAGGTATTGATGTACATGTGGTGGGTGGGTTATGCATTTCTTTGTTGTAAATTGTATCTGCTTTTAGATTGTATATTCCTTAACCCATTGCCACCGGGGAAAATGAACAAAAAATGGGGAAAATGCTATACTCATTTTTTATATTTTTGTGAAATATCTCTGTACATATATGGCTCTGCTAGTCCTGATTTCACCTTTCCTTGAATTGGCGGTAAAAAATGTATTCTTATTAATGCTATAGATATAGATGGTGTTATTTTTAACAGCAAATTTTGTAAATTGATGAAAAGGGTGAACGGGCAGCAATGGGTTAATGTACATGCTGTTAATATATCTCAGACATTTTAAGTCAACTGACCCTCAACAACCCTCTGAATATCCACAGCTTGCGTATGACTACAAGTTTGACGAGGAGGAAGACCACAAGATCCCATGTCTGTGCGGCGCTGAGAACTGTCGGAAGTGGATGAATTAAGCAAGGAAGGAGTCAGTACAACTAAATAATTACAATTACGTCCATTAAGTTTGAAGAACTCCTCCATAAAACAGAACAAAGCAAACAAATAAACAAAACAAAACAAAAAAAAATGTATAAAAAAATAAAGATTTTTTTGGTATTAGGAAATATTTAAAAAAGCAAAATAAAAAAAAATAAACAGATACAACTTCTAAAAGTAGAATGTGCCTTGATTCTTGGATACTGTACCTATTTCTACCACGAGCGTAGACAGGGGAGGTCAACGAGATGGCTGTCTTGTGTTTGTAAAGTGTGAGATAGCTGCGTTCAAGGTATGACTCATATGGCCAACAGTCGTAATGTGAATTGTAAGTTAATGTAAAAGATTATATTTATATATACATATATCTATGTAGTCGTGTGTGAGGATCCCCAGAGTTTCTGTAAATGTTTTGTGCAAATCTTTTCTCTTAAGCAAAACTGTGTGTTAAGCATAAACAAAAAAGAAAGAAAAAAAAAAGAAGCTTGCTTTGACAGGCTTTAGAAATCTTCGGTGGACTTTAGAAGAAGAAGAAGGAAAGTGACCAAATTATGAATGTTACTTGCGACAGCAGTGATTTAATTCACAAGAAGTGAAACAGTATCAATACAGCTAATGCGGTAAGCTTAAGCCCCATCCCCCCTTCTCCCGTACATACGTGTGTGTCAGGACCCTAGAAGAGCCAAGTGCCTTGCGCTAGGAAATCTGCTTTCCAAGTCAGGGATTGGATTTAAACTAATTCGCGGCTGAAGTGCAATTTTTATTGTCCGAAAGGAAATGTGATTATATAGGGCTTGTGGTAGAAATTGGACCGGTGTTCCGTTCCCGTGGCTGGCAGACCGAGTGGAATGCTCTCTTGAGCAGGTGGTGTGGGCCTTTTTCTTCTTCCTTTTTCTTACCTTGGTCTGGCTATCAAAGGCCATCAAGGGAGGACGATGATGATGATGATGACAGCACTGAGCGGAAGCGTGGGCCAGTTTTTTCCAGTGAGCCAACTTAGTAATCATTTGTATGTGAGAATGACATTGATTAATACATCTATTTTCACAAGAATTTCAGGATCTTTCTTGACTCTGCTTTTGTCTCATTTTTCATCCTTTTTTTTTTTTTTTTTTTTTTTTTTTTTTTATCTTTTATTATATTTTATACTTGTTAATTCCCTTTATTTTTTTCCTTTTCTTCTTTCTTCCTTAATTATATATCTCCTTCCTCAACCTTTGTAATCTACTACTTGTTCATAGATGTGCTGTTGAAAAAAAAAGCATTAAATAAAAAAGAAAATTCATAATAATGATAAAAAGAAAGAAGAAAACTAGGAACAGAAGGGACTTAACAGGTTGTGGGAGGCTGAGTCAGACGCAAGGCCACGAGCGAGCCTCTGTGTCTAGCCTCGCCTGGCCTCCCGCCTCTCCAATCTCGAGCTCCATTGTGTTTCCGGACGCAGGTGTTGAGCAACCACCCGCTCCCGTGGGGGGGCGGGGGAGTGACGCGCAAGAGTAACCTTTTGTGTATATTGGACTTTGCAGGATGTCCTCATAAAGAGTTTTTATATTTATAGGGTCTATAATTTAGGGCTTTGTGGCTGATCAGTGGCCAGTAGATGCAAAGGGGTGGGAAGGAACTCCTTGGGGAGGACGTGTCTGACCGTGATAATAGCGAAGGGTTTTATGATTATAATGTTTTGCCTCTTCTTTTTGAAAGTGCGTTTATTTTTCGATTTTCATCGAATGCCACCAATCTGTAATACAGGTTAAAGTGATTTGATTTTTAAAAAATTGTCATTGTAATTTTATCATTATTTTATCTCCTTATTTTTATTTGTATTTTTATACAGATGTTTTTCTCTCGTATGTTTGTATCTTCCAAAATCATCAAGGAATTCTCTTCAATTTCTTATCTTTTCTCTAAATCCTGTGACTGGTTTTGTAAGTATCATCTTTAAACTCTTTGTTCCCATTTGACTAAGAAGCCTTTTCTTATCCCTTGCTTTTGCATTTTCTTATCCAGAGTACAGATGGACAAGCCTTGCCAAAGCACTGAAGACAAAAAAGAAAGAAAACAAATTTTTTTCCCTCCCCCCTCCACCATAATCTTAAGTTGTTGTCTGTATGTTTTTAATGTAATTTATAATAATTTCACTTTTTTATAAATCCTAATTAGATTATTAAGGATTTTTAGATGTATTGAATACTATACATGGCATTGTTTATAGATACCCCTCTCTGGTAAGATGTAAGGCTCGTATCCAATATGGCCTCCATATATTGCCTGTTATCCCTGTGAATTTAGAGTAAGTCAGCTGGTGGATTGGTGGATCCAAGAGATGTGTACAGAAGGCACCGTAAGTCATGCCGTTTAGCATTTTCCCCATAGGCTTGTACTGTACAGGTTAGATATTTTAGGGTAGGCTGGAAGACGATTCCTTGCTTCGAGGTTTGCCACACTGATAAATATACCGTATCACAAATAGACTGATGAATGTTAAATTATGATTTTATCTTCCTTTCTTTCTCCCCCTTTTTTGTATTTATTGTTTTTTCTATCTATGATATTTGTTTATATATATATATATACACACTGCATGATATTTTGATACAGTGCATTTCTTGGCCACCAGCCACGCCTCCAGTCCCCAGACTCTCCCACCTTAACACGAACGTACGATGTCAGATATTAAGTATTATGCCTGTCCTCGTGAATTATGTATTTTATCTTAAAAGATTTGTATAATATAAGTAACCCAAGCATTCTCATATGTTTGATGTGTACTGTCAGGGGCCATTTGCGGTCTGTGAATGTATACTCCTGTTTGTGTGGATTTCTGATGATGAACAATGTCAATATGTAAATAAGTTGTTGAATACAGTCAATAAAACATTTTCATGTAT